TACCCCCTTAATCCAATTTTTCAGTCCTTTATGAGGTAATTTTTTGACCCATTAAATACTACAATAGAATTCCATGATGGGAGCAGAACACTCAACTTTAACTGATTTTAAATACTGTTAACAGAGGAAAGGAGTTTCAACCAGAGAGATCTCAGTCTGCCTATCTGAGAGAGTTTTCAAATTACTATAATAATTTTTTTGAAATATCTTCCTGCAAACAGAGAGGAAACAAAGTGAAAAAGATTTTAATATACAACTATTTGTGCATTTTCAATATCATCAAGACCAGGAATGACATTTGCACGCAGTGATTTTCTTTAGAAAGCTTAGACTTGTACATCTATGTGCATGTGTATGTAGGGCTCACTTCATTAGGGTAGTGACACCCATTTCCCAGTGTCACAGCAGATGTGTCAGAGCGGGCGCCAAGTGTATGGCGAGAGCTGAATAATGAGAAAAAAATACATCGCTATTTCCTGTTATTCAAAAAACTTCCACAATGGGACAACCACACTAACCGCAGTGGAGATGAAAGATGTCTGTCCTTTTCCTCACTCCGTCCTAACCCCTTTGTTTCTTACAGCTTTAGGCCCCCCTCCCTCAAATAAACTCTAAAGCCTGTTACATCATGTAAACAAGCAAATTGCCATTAGCTGTATGCAGGAGACTGAGATGGACGAGGATTTCTAACTTCCTGCATTCACAATTTTTTGGTAATGATATGGCCCCCACTTGTGAGTAATCAGGACAGTAAAATAGAAAACAGTGTCTTTGAACAAATTTTGTCACTGATGCTGACTCTCTTGTATTCCCTTAACACAGGCCAAAGTAATCAGAGGACAGAGTGATCCTTTTCCCTCACTGATAAAGTTTGTTTTTCCCCACAGGTGGTGCTCGAGATGCCAATAAGAGATCTGTGTTTTCAGGTGAGAAACTCAAACTGTTGAGTATTTGCAGCTGAAACCCTTAGAAAGTGAAATTACCTCAGAATGTCAAGTATGAACTTTATAGAGCTGTAATGTCAGTCAGTGACCTCACTTGTAGTGCCACAACACGTAAACCAAATAATTATCAATGGGCGACTTACTGTAGAAGCCTCCACCTTCATTTATGGTCCATTCAATTACGCTCACAGGCTGAACAGAGGGCAAAGCAGCTCTGGAGTGTGATTGGTCGAAACTGGCCATGTGTGGAGACAGGGATGCTGTTGCCCAGTTCCATTAAGTCACTGTGGGTTCTGAGTTTACACGCAGCAGACAGCGTCAACTCTCAAGCGTCAACATTTGGGAGCAGGAGAAAGTCTGTCTGGTTTGAGGTCGTCTGCGGCTCTCCTTCTTGTGGCTCTGGAGGTGCCCACAGTTCCCAGCGTCAGCGTGCCAGTCTGGAGGGAGATCTAAGAGCAGGCTGCTGCTGCTTGGCTATCAGAGAAGCCAGACAATTGCCACGGCAACCAAACTCAAAGCTTGTAGCTGAAATCACCCCAATCACTGCTCTCCTAGAAGTTATTGAGAAATATGGTGGTTGGAACTGTAGCCGGGCAGCATCAAGCCTCATTTTCCACCTCATGTTTGTCCATGACATGTTTGAATATAAAATGTTTCAAAGTGATTGCCCCAGTTATTTTTCTTATTAGCGGTTACATGTGATTCTGGTTTCTAGGAGACTGATGTTTTGTCTTTCATTTTTCACAGGCCTATAGTGACGAAGACCAGAGACATCGATCCAATCAAACTATTATGCAAACCACTGGACATTTTGAATATGTGTACAGAGACAATTATTTTTATACTTCATATGAATGAAAAGAAAAAGATTGTATACTTTTTTCACAGATATTTCATACACATTCTACTGTAACTATATGACAGAGTCTAAAAAGATTACATCAGAGTATGAAATATAACATTTATTTTTGTTTGCTCTATAGCATGCTATTGAACTTCCATGTGGGGTCCAAAAACAGATGCACTTTGTCGTTGATGGGCTCTTTTTCTAGGCCTAGTGCATATTCACATTAAGAGCGTTTATTGGTATGCACTGTTAAAAGATGTAGTGTTTTTCAAATAGCAAATAAGCAAGCTGTGGAGGGGGAACAAGGAATGCATTATATTAATAAAAGAAGTGATGCACATGTCTCTTTATTCTTTTGTCCTTTACATAATCCAGCTTGTTCTTCCTCTGGAGCAGTGACCCCAGTGGATTCTGACACGCAAACACATCTCCAAACTTAGGCCCCTATTTCTGAGGGCCAAAACAACTACAATGCTGGACTAAACCTATCCCTCCTAAACACATGTTCTAGACAACTTTGTGTGTCCTGCTGACTGTGTTACATGTTGGTCAACCTCTGGTTGTCTGTGTGTTACATGAGCACTGTCAGCTCAAGATACTCACACGATTTGGACACACCCTCCAGACTAACACTGTCTAATCCCTTCCTTTGAACCCTACAGGGTTTTGTAGTGTGGTACGCACCAACCCTTCAGTCTGTCTCGTGGGATGTGGTCGACAAACTACTCAACCCTCTAGTTTTATTTCTGTGAGCCTGATTCCTGTAAAAGGATGTGTGAGAAGACTAATCACTGTAAACCTCATCCTGTAAAACATGCTACATAGATTAATGTCCTGAATTTCAGCACATTATGTGCTTCTTGGAAAGGGATGTGGTTTAGAAAGAGATTTGGGTCACAGCAGTGCCTTGATTTAATCTTGATATCACTATAAACAATATTTTCCTGTTAGAAGACGGAAATTACAATTTTTATATTTCATTTTCCATTTTCACTTTGTTGGTGAGGAATCTGATTGCCATCTGTTCTTGTTTTGCATCACCCGTGTATTAACTCCGTTTATACTATCAATATTTTCTCTGAGTTCATATGTCTCCTACAGGCTTTCATTTCTTATGTCAGCAAAATATCAAGGCACGAGCAGCTTTGCAATAAGGAAAGACAGTTTGAGAGATGGAGACTTGAATTACTGCCACAGATGTCACACAAAGACAGTGATCTGTTGCCTACCCTCCCTCTGTATCTGCGAATGCTTTAGTATGTCACAGCTCATGGTGATGAAACAAAGGGACCACTACCAACACCTCTTCTTCATACAAATACTACATCAGTGTTTTGACTTCTTAGAGTTCATACGAAGGTGATTTTAATTGTTCATTTAGTTTAAACCACATATATCCTTGGCAAATACTGTAAGTCATATGTGATCATAAAGTATGAAACCTCTTCTTGCAAGTATGCACTGTACACTGTGCATGCTGTATACACCAGGAACATTTAAAGTAACTACAGGGGCCACCCAGGAATCGCAGCAGACATCACTATACATACTGGGAGATCTGGACCACCATCAATGACCAGCAGACTGACCCAGGTCTTAATTTACAACTGAACAGGCTGGGATTTACTCCAACGTGCAGCATAAATAAATCTATGGCGAAAGAGAGGTATGCTTTGAAGGCATGTTAAGTCAACATCATTCGCTGCATGACATGAAAAAAGCCAACATTTGTATATTTTAAAAGAAGCAACCTGAATAGTTACAACCACTACACAATGTGTATGATAAAGGAGAGGCTCCATGTTAAACCATCCTTGTGAGAACAACTCTGCAGAAGCAACCAGGGAGGTTTGTGTGGCTGCTTTTCATGGTAATCTAAAACATAATCAACAATCTGGATTGAGTTTTCCGAGTTCATTGAATTCATTCATTGAAGTGAACTTCCTGTTCCCCTTCTCTTCTTTGGCTGTTAACTTCTTCAAGTCTGTCATCAACATGAAAGTTTGAGTGTTTCTCTGTTCTGTCATTTGAAGCCAAGCTGGAAGTTTTATAACCCTAGAGTGGCTCTCCTTGTAGAGTTTAACATCAATAGATTCTGTTGAAGTAGGAAATAAACAGTGTTAGTCCTACCTGTTTTATATGCTGCAGACAATGTAGGTTTTTCATATGCACAGTCAGCGCTGAACTGTTCTGTTGGTGATGGTTAAACTATTACTCCAAACTAAAGCCTGTATTCCAATAACCTACGAGGAACTGGTAATTTATATAAAAAAACCAAAATTGTAATACAATACCTCTAAGTTCAATTATGAAAATAACCTTGTTACAAGTTATGTACAGGTTATGTACAGCCATTGCCAGTCCCTAATCCCTCTATTTATATTAAGCTTTGCTTGGGTTCATATCATATCATGTAATTTAAATTATACAGTATTTCTAAATATATGACAAAGGTTATAAGTCAGTTATTGTTTCAATTATTGTCCCATGGTCAATGACAATACTGCAAAGTCATCTCTATGCCAGCCCAGGCCACAAAGACATCATTGTGTCTTATGTGAAGAGTTTTCAATTAGAAATGTATTTTTTAAACATTACAGAAACTGCCATTGTGCTTGCCCTTGCACTGGGATAGTCTTCAGTTCAAACAAAACTTAAAAAGCACTCCAACTGTCAGCGATGTTCAAGGCTATGATTAAAAGGACCAGGGTGCTTGATAAATCTCTTTCTCAGCCTCCTTTTGATGTACAAATATGTTAAATATATTCCATCTGCTGCACAGCATAGCCTGTTTCCGAAGCTGCAGATCCTTTTCTAAAACAAAACATGGCAGCAGGAAATCTCAAGGCCTCGGCATTAAAGACAAAAAAAACCCAATATGGCCATGTTCTTTCTTTCTTTCTGTTTGTTTGCAATCATTTTTATTTTACTCTTTTGTGTTATTATTTTCAGTAAGGGGGTTAACTTTTGTACGACAGTTCACAGTTCATACAGAAAACAACACTTCCGGTTGTCATGTAAGTGCACAGGTTTAGGAAACACCATTTTCCTGGGTAACAAACTCCACCTAAACACCTGTGTTTTTGATACAGCATATGGGCGTATGAAGATTGCGTAGCTCACCCGGGGATGCGCTGTGGCGTACAGCGACTTTCTCGCCGAATACGTACAATGCTACTGCGCAATGTTGCTTTCAGGAAGTGGACAAAAAACGCGGAAGTACTCTTCGGCTTCAAATCCGTATACTGGCGGAAGGCGGTATCAAGTTGTCCACATACAGTCTATGGTTGTATTTGAACAAAACGCAAAAGTGAGTTTGTTCAGTTTTATTTTAGCAAAACGCAAAAGTGAGTTTCATCCACTGCCATGGTGAAAAAGTGTGAGAATAATTTGCCGGAACTAACTCTAGATCCACATCCAAGTGCCATGGCTACCAGGGTTGTGAAGGTAAGCTTGCTCAGTCTGGCTTGTGTTGTTTGTTGGTTGTTTGCAGTTACATAATGTGGTTTGATTTAAATATATTGGTTGTTGGTTGAATATATATATTCATAATATAGTATAAATATAGTTGGTTTGAACCAACTATATTCAACTGCTTATATAGGAATGATTTGGAATTGAAAGACCAAGAGTTAGCTTGTGTTGTAGTATTTGGCAACATATGGAGCAACAAATGGGACTTAGCTAGGGCTAGTTTAATACACTGTGTTATAGCTTCATTAGTCACTGACTTGGAAAGCTGTTCCCCAAACGACAGACATCGATAGGTTTTAACTGTTATTTTTAAGTCTTTCCATTCAATGAAAACACCTCTCTTTGCATTTATGTGAAAGACTGTTGGCCTGTTGCCTGGATAAAGCCCATTTGACCCTCCAAGAGGATCATATAAATGCAGTTTCATCAAACCTGAGAGTTAACTGCAAAGATCTGTACAATGCATGTTACATTTTTAGCTTTATTTGTGGTAACATGTCATGAAACCCCATCTTACATGTAATGGTAATGTTATATGAAAATCCTCTATAAATATGTAGGATTATTTTCACATTTGTTTGTTTTTGTTGTGAGTAAGATTAAATGTGTTTTTGGTTTGGAGACACATCTTAGCTCTTTTCCGACTTCAAGTACAAACTGTTTAAACCTCAGGCAGCACAATGAAAATATTCTTTGACCATCCTTACCCCAACACAGTAAACCAGAAGATATCCATCATTGTTGTGTGGATCGTTGAGGCTGTTAGGTTTGGCAAGACTTGTCAAGTGTTGAAGGACATACTGTCTGTATTAAGCAAGTGCTATGTTGTTTCTAGACGGATAGTTTTCCTAACATTTTCAGCTGTTTGCTGCAGCAGTTTATTGGCTTTCCATTTTGCAGCTTCACATGATATAGTAGTACAGGCATAATGTGTTTTCCATATGGATTATTTTGTCAATCTCAAGTTTTCATGATGAATGACATGGAAATTGCTTATCCCCTTTGGTGTGTTGTGTTTGAAAGAAAAAGATCACTCCTGGGATTAGCAAATGCTTGTATGATCCTTTGGAACATCATGTATTTAATGTTGTTCCAAGGGCTTGTTCAGGAAATCCAGAAGGATTGCATACTGGATGAATAAACAGGAATCCTGTTGTGAACTCTGGCTGATTGTAAAGCTTTTCTGTCAAGTCCCTGTAAAAGTCACAGAAGGTGTGGGAGTCTCCAGGATATTCTGCACTTTAAGGTTCAATTGTGAGACCTCGGCATGGGAGAACGGTAGTCTGATCTGCCTTGAACCTACCTCGCTTGTCTTTCTTACTGACTAATTCCTGGTTCCTCTCCCTGACCATGATGCGGTCACTGTTCCAGACACATGGGGATCTTTCAAAGTCTGGGCTGTATGTTTGTTACACATTGGCTGGCCTTGTGGTGGGTGAGGCTTAGACCTGGGTCAGATGACTCATCCAGACTCAGTACTTGTCTCCTGTCTCAGGGAATCTTTGTGCTTTCATCGGTCTTATTGTTGTTTTAAATTCAAGGAAGTAATCTTGGGTTGGCGGCACACTGTGTTTTGGAAATGTTGGTGTTCATTTGTGCAGATGTTCCTTTTTCTGATGTGAAATTGTTCAAAAAATTATGGAGTGCGCAAAAGAAAGCAATTAATTTGACCGTATTGTCAAACCACTTTGTGTCTAATATTTGTCTTATTTATGAGTCTGCTCTTTTATGCTATCAATAACATCTTGAAGTGAAGTTAATTTATTGAGCTGACACGTGGCTTTTTACTCAAGCTGTGATTTATGACACAATCTCAGGCAGCTTTATTCACATTGTTTGCCAGCATATTCCTCTACTTCTGCCAGCTTATCAAAGCTTTCTTCCTGAGCATGTTGCATGCAGTATGATGGCTGCATAACATGAGTCTGTGGAGCTTCAATCCTAACTGTCAGTTGTCATGCCAAATATCCAGTTGATAGCTGATTTCTTTCGTGAAAGTTATCTCAATCCAGATGCTGAGCAGACCATGTGTTTACTCATCTGTGCGAGTTGCCTTCAAACATGATCAGAGAACACTACACTGACATCAGTTCTCCCACCAGATCTAATTGGATTCATATTCCAGTGAAAGCATTGTCTTGTCACTGCCTCCCTTTGATGGAGAGAGGATAAACATATCTGTGGGATGTTAGATGGAGCGATAGAGAGGGTGAAACGATAATAAAATGTCAGGTTTGGTTTGCAAGATTACACAAAGTGATGTTGGCGTATACAAAGACAGCGGGTATGTAATGAAGGTTGATTATCTTTGCTAAACTTTCAACATCAGCTAATGAGTTCAGACACATTTGTAGATCGAGTATGTGTCCCCTTAACAAACCGCAGTGCCACCATAAAAATGATTGGTAATAGAGGAGTATTATATATATAAAACTTTGTTTTATATAGTTACTTGTATACCATTTAATTACTTCTATCTTTTCTGTTTTAAGTTCCTTGACAGTGGTAATACAGCTGTAAAAGAAAAGGTTTTTACTTATTTTAACATGTGAATACAGTACAGGCCAAAAGTTTGGACACAACCTCTCATTCAATGCATTTTCTTTATTCTCATTACTATTTAAATTGTAGATTCTCAGTGAAGGAATCAAAACTACGAATGAACACATGTGGAATCATGTGCTTAAGAAAAAAGTGTGAAATAATTGAAAACATGTTTTATATTTTAGATTCCTCAAAGTAGCCACCCTTTGCTTTCTTGATAGCGCTGCAAACTTTTGTTGTTCTCTCAATGAGCTTCATGAGGTAGTCACCTGAAATGGTTTTTACTTCACAGATGTGTCTTGTCAGAGTTTCTTCGTGACTAAGTACTTCTGTCATCAAGAGCAAAGGGTGGCTACTTTAAAGAGACTAGAATATAAAACATGTTTTGAGTTATTTCACACTTTTTATATAAGTCAGTGATAATCTACAATGTAAATAGTCATAATTTTTTTTTTCAAAAGACATTGAATAAGAGGGTGTGTCCAAACTTTTGGCCTGTACTGTATGTTTTTTTGGGAATGCAATAAACCCAGATGGTAATTTTTAAATCTTGAAGTGACTTAATACCCTTCCCTTCTTACCATGTGACTTTTCAAACAGTTCAAAAAATCATTATTTTAAAGTTCCAGATGATCTGCTCTCAAACTTGTAAAACAATAACAGCATAACCCGCTGAAATAACATTAAATCATTTGACTTGGCAGTAAATGCACTTTTGGTTGTGTCTTTGTTTCATCAGCACTCCAGGGGCAACATTCAGGAAAAGGGTGTAGAAGGATTGACTGATGATGATGCTGTAACTGTCCAGCAGGGAGTGGAGGCTCTGTGTAATCGCCTCCGTTCAATAACCCTTGCGTGGATCCCTGACCACAAGAGACAGGAAAGTGTCTGTGCTGATGCCAGAGGACGCTTGACTGCTGTAAGCTGCTTCACACCTGCTGCTGCTTCTTCTCTTTTTTTTTCTCGTCTTTAGTCAGTCTGTAATGTATCCTTTTTCTGCCCCTCTTTTCACACATACTTGTCATCAGCCACTGGCTTATAAAGCAAAGTAGAAATGGTAAAAGACAGATTAATAGCTGCAGTGTGAGTAACATTGGAAGCGTTTGTTTCTCATCTTTCCCAATCACCAAGATGACGTTGTTTCCCCTCTTCAAAGCGTCACGCTGCCAGAACTCTGATCTCAGTTTCCCAGCAATGTGATGCAAAATAAAATTGTTCAGGGGTCACGATACTTTAGCTTCAGCCAGGTTGAACCAACCGGAACATCAACAAGTCTTATTTGTTGTTGTGACGGAGTTCTGTCATGATTAAGACAAAGTAGATGAATTCCCCTGCATTTCTTCTCTTAACAGCACAGTTGGAGTGAAAGCCTGTCTGTGAGTCATCGCACTGTTTTTGAGCTGGCTGTACAAAACGCTTTCCATTTTCTGGGTTTCATTTTTATGACTCTGAACAAAGACTGATTGGATCTCTATACCAGCTGTCCCTGAAAGGTTTTCATGTTTTTCTGCAATATATACCCAGAGGACAGATGAAATTTCTCCTTTTATTCAGGGCCCTCTCAATCAAAAGGTTGTAAATGTAGTGTTTATCCAGATTGAGTACCTCTGAAACCTCAGCAGGTTGTTCGCACCACAGGAATAAAGTTGAATCAAAAGAAAATGTTGTGTCAGAAGGTTACACAGCAGGTAGGCTACCTCAACTGCCGACTATAAAACTTTTTTTTCCCTTCCTTTGTCTGTTAAGTAGGACCACAAAGATCTGGATTGGGTAAAACAATGCTGTCTTTTAATATAGAGATGTTAGCTGTAGCTTACACTGAATTTAAAGTATACGATCTCACTGTGGAAGCATGTGGGGGGAACATGAATATAAAACAGATTTATTGGATATGAGAGGAGCTTTGTATTTGGTATCCAAAGCAGCTATGTGCTTAAACTTAAGAAACATTATCAGGACTGTTTGGAGGGTGAGTTTTCATGGAAAGCATATTTATCATTATTTAATAGTTTTTCCATGACTGTGGAGCTGTTTCAACATTTCACTGAATGTTTTATTTGTTGTTAAAACACATCTTACTGTGTAGGAACAACAATTCTGTAACAACTTGTTGCTATTTCAACTTTGAATCCATTTAGAAAGCCAGCATAAGCGACAGAGTCTCCTTTGCTGCTTACATTGGTGTGAATTTTCTCTAAACTTTATCCTGATCATCTCATGGAAGACTGTAATCTCAACAGGTGCTGCACCCCTGCGGTAGATTCACTTGCGGGAAACACTCCGACCGACCCTTAATCCTCTTCCCACCAGAAAAGAATCAACAGAGAAGTGTTTTTCTGCAGCTTTTGTTGTGTTTTTCTTTGCTGCTGTGCAAGGACGTTTGTACTGATGTTGGTAGATAAGATAAGAGATAAGATATTCCTTTATTAGTGCCACAGGGGTAAATTCCAGTTTACAGCAGCATAAATACAAGTACAAATAGAGAAATTAAAGGATAAGAAAAACTTAAAGTGAAAAAAGATGTATACATGAGCCTTCTTAAAATTACTATATGTATACAGCATATACAGAGATGGTCAGGGTATCTGACGTATCATTTATTGCAAATATTTCATGTGGAAATTTTTAAGAGTAGGACTGTTAAAGATGTAGACTTACCTCCTGCTCTGATTTCAGGCATTAAAAACTACATAAAAACCTTCTATCTAGTTTATATTAAGAACTAAAAAGGCAGTTCTCTTATAAACTTTTTTTTATCTTAAAAAAAACTGTTCCATGATCACACCCATAAAGCTTTCTTTTCTGATTTGTTCCTGTTCTAATTTCTAATAGTTTCCTTTAACCCTCGGTAAATTGCCTTAGACATTTATGTCACACTTGGGCTTATCTCAAAGTCAGTATATGAAGGAAGAAAAATCATCAGAAACCATGCAGTTTTAAAGCTCCTCCATGATTTCAGTGACACTTTAGATCATGGTTGGATTAAGCACGCTTAAGTTTCAGAGTCTTTTAAGTCGGGGCCAAACAATGAAGGGTTTGGGCTGATGCTTGTTTCTGGTACATTTCCACGGAGCTGAGAAGTCTGTGGGATTTGCCAACAGTTTTTGAGGGAGAAAAGAAAGAGGAGCAAGTGAAGAGCAAGGGAGAAGGTCAGAATGACTGTTGAAACAATGTATCTTGTAAGCAGCTGTGGTCTCTCTTTTCCTCAGGTCACACAGGGAGATTCAGGGAGTGAAGACATATGAGGAGGATGAACTGTGGCAGCCCTCCACAAGAGGGCACAGATGATGTGGCTGAAGAGGGATAACTTGGTCTCCTGGAGTGTTTCTGATGACATGGATGTTTGGAAGGACCCTTCATGTTAAGTCTTGGTTTGGCTCTGGTCATTAGCTTCCTGTTATTATAAATCACATGTCTAGATTCTACTGAAGGACTGAAAAATCTCAGGCTACAGAGTATTTCAGAAGAAAGGTCACTGAAAAACACATTTTTTAGCTTTTGACTGGAATGAATTCAGGTCAACTTTTTGACATCTGCTTTGAGAATTAAATTGTAGCTCATTTTTTAAAAGCAACAAGTCAAGGGTGAAGTCCTTTTGTTTTCTAATTTTTGTCCAGACGTGGAATTTGGATTGAAGTAGCCTCATGAATTATTCTAGTGCTTTTGTTCCCCAGTTCAAAAACAGGTCTCGTTGCTCCTCAGTCAACAGAAAATCTCAAACACACTCCAAACTCTGTACTGTTAAACACATTTCTGGTCAAACTCACATGTTTTCTTTTTCTACTACTGGCCAGATTTATCGTGTGTGTCTGTGTTTTGCTGTATAGCTAAGCTATGAAGCGATCATAATGGTATCACCTGCCTGTTAGTGCTGGAAGTCAGATTCTGACGCAGAGGAGAAGTGGAGGTTTGATTTACAGGAACATGTGGTCCAGGCTGCTGTTTGTCCTTGCAGTTGGTGTGCTGTTACGGAGTCTTCCACTCTGTAGAAGGTCCCATATGGTGCAAAAGACATCTGAAGTTGTCTTACTGGGGTTGAATTTTTACTCCTGATGAATACAGAGTTAAGTTGTTTGTGTAAAGGATGAGAAGTTGGAGCTCTTAAACTCTAAAAAAGTTTCTCAATAATCTCGAAATATTAACAAATGAACCTTAAACTGATCCTTTGAAATAGAAACAAATAGACTGTGTTTATTTTTAACTAGTTTTGGCAAATTTTAGAATTGATTTTCAACTCTTTTCCATCCTTCTGAGGTGAAAGCTGTTTTTTTACTTGGAAAAAAAAGTGAGAAATCTGTATTCTGCCGGCACTCTGCTATTAGCCTCCTCTCCCCCATAAACCTAATTGATACCTAAAGCTAGCGGTGAAGTGTAAACAGACTTCAGGCAGCTGGTGAGACAGCCATGTGTCTCAGACAGAGCAGCCACCCAGCCCATAATGTAGTGCAGTGTGGATTGTTCACTCCCTCTTCTGTGGCTGTCAGAGCCGAACAGAGACGAGGAGACGACCACACAAAAGAAATATTTGTCCAATCTGTCCAAGCAAACTCCCCAATTGAGGACTGAACTTTCCCATCGCATTTCTCTGTGTCTGTGTGACACGTAATTGAAAGAGGAATTATGCTTTGAACTGTGATGGAGGCAGCCTTAGCATCCAAAAACAGGCACGGTCTGTAATGGACACTGACAAATGATGCACTTGTTCCATTTGATTCTGACCTGGTCAGATTCAGCGTCTGATAATGCATTCAGGTTTTACAACAAGGAAGTTTGGACTATATTAGCAATAGCCTGGGAGCAAACCATTTCAAGAAGAATAACACAGATTCAAAGATATTAGTTTTAGACCACACTTTCCTCCATTAATGCTTATCAGCAGATCTTAATGTCATTTAAATACCCCACATTAAAGTGTTTTCACGTTCTTTAGAATGAGGCAAGCCTCGGACAATGATTACCATATGCAAACATCAAATATATCCTCATTGTTCCAGGGGTAGAAGGCTTGCCATTTCAACAAAGTCTGTTTTCTTCAAAAGACTGTGGTCAATAGATCTCCTCACTGTTTAGAAAAAAGGGGTTTCCTCTTGTCTCAAATTCCAGGCTTCTCAGACAGCTTTGCAACCAGCTCCACAATGAACCAGGAAGTTCTATGCAGGACTACTAAAATGTTTATCTCTCTCAATTCATGAGAGGCTGCTGTGCTGGGTCTGCAGTCAAGAACCCGTCTCAGTCCGTGTGTGCACAGAGTCAAATGGTTTGCCAGTGTTAAGTGAAAAGGGTTGCCCCGGCGGTGAAAGCGAGCTGTTTGTTCATGTCCAGACCCGCAGAATGGATGAGGACACAGATGGGATTTCTCTCTGGTGGACTTTTCTTCTGACCTAGCCTCTCTGTGTTTGAAGAGACATGGAAACCTCAGCTGGAATGGACAGGCATCTTATTGAATGAGCAAAGACTTACAGCTTTCACCCAACACAGGCTGAATAGGATGTGGGAGACAGGCAGCGAAAACAGGCAGGGTTTGTTGAGATGAGGTCAATATGATGTGAATGGCCCGTGCTGTCGCTGTTTCTCCATCTTTGGGACTTTGGGAATGAAAACATGTTTTTTCATATTTATACACTCACCGTTTATGTGCGTATGTGTTTATGTGGTAGATTGATACTAAGTGGTGGTCTGTACCATTTCCCTAATGCAACTCAGGCGCGTCTGGGCCTTGCCCTCTGAGGCTGCACTTCCATAAAACTTCAAAGCTTGGACTACAGAAATCATCTGGGTTTGTTTCTCTCCACGCTGAGTACTTCTGTTTTCCTCTCAAGAGTCATGGAGGGGGGCTGCTTTATGTCCAGCACATTTGGAAAGGGCAACAAATTCTATCTTCAAGGACTACATCTCAGAAACAGCTCTTTGATAAATTCTCAAATGTTGGCTCTCTATACTAAACCTTGACAAAGTACGAAGTTACAGTACACCAGTTATTGAGTAGCAGAGGCTAGCCTCAAATGTTTTTAAGGAAGGCATAAGTTTCAGGTTGTTTTGTGACTACACAACTGTGAAAAGTTAGACACACAAGCAGTTTATATCATATATTAATGGGGAATGTTGTCAATATTGAAGGTCCTTTTAAGAAATAGCCCCCAAATAATCCTAGAACATAAAATCACAATATCGCAAGACAAATATTGGTTTTGGTGAGAAAGGAGAACAAGGCGGTCATAGTTTTGCCAGCGATACAAAATAAGTTTATCATATGGAATTTTAACCCCTTTAACTTCTGAAAAAAGGGTTTTAGATTAGTTTTTTGAGCTGCAAACATGCAAACTTACTCAGTAGGCGCCCCAGACAAACATATTAGTATATGATATGTCTCTATATCTGTAATGAGCATCTAAAGGTTTAAGGAAGAAAACACTGTTTTATAATCTGTCTGATTTTATCACAAATTGTCTGTGGAGGCAGCAGTGTCACTTGCATCTTTACCTTTTATAGTCATGTGACTTTATTCTGCAACATTTTTCAAAGGAAAGGCTGTGTGGAGATTAATATGTGACAACCTCAATTTTTCACGATTTTCCCTGGTCTAATTCACAGGTTATCAACAGCAAAACAAGTCAAATTAGTAAGAATAATGGGCCTAAAGTCACTTACTTTATGTTTACCTTCACACACAGTAGGCGTTAGTCTTTCAGTTGTTGTCTGGCCTCATGCCTGGGACTAATTTGCTATTGGAGACCCTGCCAGGAGCTAAATTATCCAGACAGCGCAGCTCCCGGGGTCACGGGGTAATTCCAGGCGATTCCAATCCCTGAACTTGTGTATTGCCAAATACCAAAACCTGTTCCATTATAGATGCAGAGAAAAGGAAAACAAATGTGTTATTTTCAAAGTGTTTTTATGACATCTCGGTGTAAAGTCATTTTGAGGATCAATATCTGTGGAGCTTTAACTCAGCAAGATGAAGGACAGCCGACTACAAATCATTTTAGTGGGAGAAGTAGGATGAAATGAGATCAAACTAACAGAGGAAAAGGAAATCTCACTTCACAGCGTATGCTTTTAACTTTTACCCTTCTCTTATTTTTACTTAGGTTTTCTGCCCTGTCTCAGTGGAGTTGCTGTCCTCATCAGTTTGCATCAATAGGGGCAGCACAGTGCAAGCTGCTGTGTTGGCAACAAAGATCAACAGGTTTTATCTGAAGAGAGATCTTCTCAGCTCTAAGATTGAGGAATAAAATCAGCATACACAGTTGAACAAGCTGTTACACTGACTCCAAGTTTTGGCTGTACTGCTGGCATTCCTGATATGTCAGAAGAAGCACATCTGAACAAGAAGCATGGAAGAACAGGCTCTGAAAGCATTACAGTGAGCCGGTCGACACAGCATAAGGTACGGCTTATCAAAGGCACCAACTTTTTATTTTTGTTACTTCAAGGACAGCTCTGGTGGGTTTACACTCGACATAATATCTCAGGGTTGACTTGTTGAACTAAGTGAACGAGAATCCTTCAGTGCTGTTTAAGAGGTTAGGTGAAATGGGGAGAGAAAAGGTTATCCCATGATGCAGCTGTGACTTGCTGACAGGTGTAGCTTGACCCTGGGTGAGAGGTCAACAAAGTTTCCATGGTGATACAGGTCTGGAACTGCTTCTGGTAACATACTTGGACAGATTTAGCTACCAGTAGGAGTATTTATGCCACGACTGTGGTGGATCAGCTGTGCTAAACATTAATTCAATTAGAAGCAAGTCATGTTGCTTAAAGAGTTTCTATCTGTAGTGTCTTGTTTTCACATTTCTGCTTCTTTTTGTACACCTCTTGACCTCGATTGTGTAAGAAAGTCTGTGTCAACCTTGGCTTACAAGTTTGGGTGTGAAGACTTTAAGAAGGACAGAAATTCTATCAGTCAACGCTGTAAAAAGTGACTTAAAGGATCCAAGAAGTCATTGCTATCATAAAAACACTCTCAGCTTGGTAGCTTGTATGTATGTCTTGCACCACTGACTAGAAATAACATACACAGAGGGTCGTATGAATGCGTTACTTCTCATTTAAGATGGTACTACTTTAAAACCACAGCTGACAGCAGAGGTGACAGAGGCTAGATGTATGCCGGCCCTGCTGGAACAGAACTTAGTTTCAGAAGTGCAGAATGGCCACATTAACATAGGGTTAAACCAACATTGGGAATGGGAGTGACGCCAAGATCATTAGAGGGAGAGAGAGCGGTTTCTAGGCAGGGTTGGGTTACATGTTGTCGACCCTTAGACCTGCCCTGAACCTGCCTGTCAGAGGAGAGCAGGAGAAAGAGGAGGAGGAGGAGGAAGAACAGACTGATGACTGACACAATTTGACACACAGGCTTTGCTCAATGGCGTCCATTCAGCTGGACACGGTTGCTTACTTCAGTGTTGGAGAGGAGCCTAATCAGATCTGATGCTTGTATTAGAGTCAGTTCAAGTCACGCGATTATTAACTAAGCAGTGCATGTGCGCTCTTCCTCTTGGATTTCACCGCGATGCATTTTCTTCATTATTTCACCAGTTGAATCATAGAGAATCTGACTTCTTAGTAAACAGGTTGTTGGTCATTTTTGTCCATTGACACAAACATGAAACGCGATCG